TCGTCCAGCCGCCCGGCCTCCCGCGCCTGCAGCGTCTTCCACTCGCCCAGCGCCTCCAGCAGCTCCGCGTCGGCCATGACGAGGTCAAAGTGCAGGCGCAAGAACACAGTCATCCAGGCCTGGACGAGCTCGTAGTCGCGACGGGCCGCGAGGCGGCTCGTCAGCGCGCGGATGAAGTTGAGGAGGCCGCCGTCCTCGGGCGAGAGGGAGCGGAGCTCGAGGTCTGCCGTCGAGGGGGACAGGGATTTGAGGTGGGTGATGAAGTCGTCGACTGGTTTGCATGTTAGCTTCTTCTTTCTTTTACGTATGGATGACGCGGGTGAGTGGGGGGATTCAAAGAAGGAAAAATCATCTTACAGTCTCCTGAGGCTGCGCCGTCGTCCAGCTTGCTCGTAAACGCTTCTTGCATGCGGCCGCGCTCGAGCTTGGTGATGCGGGACTTTGCCTCCGTTGCGGCATCGGCTTCGGGCGCAACGGCCCCTTCGATGAGCGACTGCTGCGGCTGCTTCCCGGCACCGACAGAGGGCAGGAAGAAGGGCGCCTTTTCGGGGGCCTTGGGGGCCTCGGTCGGCTTGTTGCGCTGCTTGATCAGGTCCAGGTGGAGCAGCGTCTGCCAGCGACTTTTGGGCACCAGGGACAGCGTCGTCAGCTCAGCGCTGAGCTGGTCGACCGTTGGCGCGACGATAGTCTCGTCCTCTGCGTCTGCGTCGCCGTCTTCTGTGAAAGCCGCCTCCAGCAGGCCCTCGTTGCCTTCGCCGGACGTCGTGGGTCCCGTGAGCAGCGCAGCCTCCTTGTCCGAGATTTGCCGTGTCGGGACGTGCGTGAAGAGGGACTTGTTGGTCCAGATGGCGACGCCGAGCTCGTTCTCGATCGTGGCGGCGAGGTACTCGCCCGAGGAAGACATGGCCAGCGCGGTGCAGGGCTTTTCGAGGCGGATGGCGTCAATGAGATGGCTGGTGGGCAGGTCCCATATCCTGATGACGCGGTCCTGTGAAGCGGCGATGATCCAGCGGCCGTCGTTGGAGAAGCAAAAGTCGTTGATGGTGTCCTGGCAGCCCCAGAACTCTCTGATTGTTCTCTTCGTCTCCAGGTCGACGACGCGGACCGAGTTGTCGTCGCAGGTGAAGGCCATGAGGTCATTTGCGGCGTGGTATCGGCACCCGGTGATGGCGGCCATTGGTGCCCAGTTGATCTGGTGCACGAGGTTACCCGTGACAAAATCCCAGAACTTGATCTTGCCGTCAAGGGAGCAGGTGATGACGTTCTTGTTCATCGAGTCCACCACAATACCCGTTACTGCCTTTGTGTGTCTTCCTGTGCCAGGCGCAAAGCCACTGTTCTTCTCGGTGTGAAGCTGCACAACATCATCGGCCTGCTTTAGCTGCTGAATCTTCAGCGCTCTCGCTTGGGCGGGAGTGAGCTTGGACGGGAAACGCTGGCGGTGAATGCCGGATTGCAAGTTGTACATGTCGATGCTGCCCTCTACGGAACCGACCAGAGCGAAAGTACCGCAGGGACTGATGGCGATGGTAGAGACAAAAGAGCCGTCGCCCGTGGGGAATGCCCACCGGCCAGCTCTCTTGCGACCCCAGAACCATGTACGCGCCCAAGCGTCATCCTTATGTGCCGTCACGACGCTCTCCCAGCCAGTCGAGCCACTGACTTCGGCATCGAGCTTCTTCTTGTTCTCCCTGTGCTTCTGCCAGATGGGCTGGTTGCCGGGCAAGGCGCCAATGCCACCGTCGCGGTTGAGAGAGCTGGCGATGCAGGTAATCTCGGGGGCCTTGAGATCTTCCAAAGTCGTCGTAGGGCCCCTGGCCATCGCCTTTGCAGAAAGTATACCAGTCTTCTTCGCCATCTTGCGGATGTTTCCTTGGCTGAGCTCGGTGCTCTGACCATCACGTCGCATACTCCATCCCCAGAGACTACGATCTTGACCACCACTGAGGAGCCACTTGTTACCTGCATCGGCTCCGTCAAAGTCGGAGGGGAGAAACTCCAAGCACTTGACGGGCGCGGCATGGCCGCTGCGCTGGTGCAAGATACGGGGGATGGCGGAGAATGGGGTCTCGTCAAAGATCCACGTCTTGAGGGCGTTGTCCCGTCCACTGGTAACAACAACCGGCTGGCCTGACAGGAACTCAACCTTGCTAATTCCTCCTCGTACCAACGGACCGTCGCCGGACGGGGGGTTGTGTGCACTCCTCAGAACACCCATGACCCTGCCTCCATTGTTTAGGTCCCAGAACGTAACGTCTCCTGTGGCAGCGGTAGCGGTCGCCATGACACCGTCCTTGCGGCCATCATGACCTGCTCCCATGCCGTCAGATCTAAAAGAGATGGAAGTAACGGGTTCATCGTCGTGGCCGGCCTTGAGTTGGATAATTGGCTTATCGGTTAGGATGTTCTGGATCACTAGGTTGCCATTCGCGTAGGCAATGGCAAGGAGTGACAAGGCTGTGGTGGGCTGCATGCAGGTAACGGCGCCGCAGTCGGGGGTCGGAGGGAGAATGGTGTAGATGAGTTTGCCGGTGCTGACGTTCCAGATTTCGACCCAGCCGTCCTTGCGACCAACAAAGATCTTGTTCAGGTAGGTCGGCATGTTCGTGATCCCGCCCGTGATCTCGTTGGCGCCCGAATTGCCAGCCATGGTGTAGAGTGTGGTGTAGTGCTCCAGGGTGGCCGACTTCCAAACCTCGAGTCTCGTCACAGCGCATGCAACAATCCAGGAGCCGAAGATGAGGATCTGTTGAATAGGCTCGTTGAGGTCTTCGGGGAGCTCGAGCTCCTCAACCTTCTTTCCACGTTTGAATGCCCAGAGTCCTTGCTTCTCGCCCTTCCTGGCGTCGCCCCATGCGGCGAATACCTTGTCCTTCCATGCGAGCGTCGTGGTGATGTCGGCTGGGGTCTGGGGACGAGTAACGAAGACTAGATTGAGACCTCTCTTTAAATCGTAGGTCTGAAGGGCTCTTCCGACAGATGTCGTGATTTGGAAAGTCGTCTTTCCGAGGGGAATCGAAGTAAATGGGACGTTTGTGGGGGAGACGAGGCCAACAGTCTGGGAGAAAGCATTGGCATTAGCATGGAAAGACCTGGATCATCAGTATTCAAAAGACATACTCGGAAAGGCGCAAAGATGCGAGAGGATTGACGTGTCGCGGTGGCAGGCTTGGAGGCGACAGTAAGCTTCTGTCGCTTGACCAGAGGCCCTTCTTGTTCCGAATGAGGCATTGTGGCGAGCATGTGGACTTGACGGACTCGAAGGCCTTTTCCGGGATGCGGTTCGTTCAAGGCCCTGAGGTACTGTCTTTCGAGTCGTCGCCCGAGATTTTTTTCCAATCTTTTCGAGCAGACGTGCCTTATCTTATCGCGATCACAGATTTGCCGGGCTTTAGCCGACGGGTCTCTTTGGCCCCGCCATTGACGATTGAGGGGCGCGGGGCAAGTCCAATTGGGATTACCTGATTGGTTCTGCATCTCTTCCTGCGAGGTTCCCAAAACGGCTGACTCATTCCTCGACTAAGCATCAGGAATGTCCTTCAGGAAGATGATCATCGATCACCTCATATACTCCATAGAGGGCGCCACGTAAACAAGTAGTAGGTAGTTGACAAAGTTCTTCACCGAACTGTAGTCACTATGGACCATGATATGTACCTCTTCTTGGGGTCTCGATCGGCTCCATGGAGTTTGGGTATTGGACTGTATGGAGGAACATGTTAGAAAATCACAACCATTGCTGGGTACTACAAGTTCCGGAGATGTTGCGTTCGCCAGCAGCAGAGCCTAGAACTTTTCATCCAGTCTTTGGGTTTGGGACAACCTTATCGTGCATGCGCGGAAGAGGGGTGGGAGACTAAGGTAGCAAGGCGCCATTGATTGAGGCTCGAGGTGTCAGAAGCTGCATTCAGCTCCATGATTCGCCGGAAGCCTCCAGCTTGACAACGTTAGTGAACAGGTCCAGCTGTCAAGCGCTGGCTGCATAAGAAACCTACCTGAGCATTTTCAAGGTCTCGGTTGGTGTTGCTAGCTCCCCCACCTCTTTCTCACCCGTCAGCCGTCTGTCTGTGTGCCCGCCTCCAACGTCATCCTTGCTTCTGCCACGCCTGCGTCTAGAACGTTTTTACTTCTCCCTCGTTGCATCCTCTCGAGTGCCATGTCTTGGCTTGTGGGATTTCTAGAAAGTCCCTCTGCTGCATTGTGAGCTGCTCTCGCTTGTGCCTACAGCCGCCGCCCCGCCACCTTGTCTCACGACACACAGCTACATACATCATCACGCTCGCGGCAACAAGTAGGCATTGGTAGTCTCGCAATCGCTCTTTTGGTGCGAGAACACGGGAGCAGCACGAGCTAGTACGTTACTGACTCTTTCATGTGTAAGGTAGGGAAACAAGAAGACAGGGACAGGGCTCTATCGTCTGTTACGATTGCTTGCCATTCTCTAACCTCGGTCGTCCAATGGGAAGGCCACGCAGGAGGTGCTGCACGCCCACGTTCTGGCGTCGCTTCTTCATCTGCCATTTGGACGGTACCTTTCTTGCCCAATAATAACCTTTTTCCATCTGGATGCAACAGCGAGCCCTCAACTCCAACTACTCCAAACTCCAAATTCCTCGCTGTAGACTTCACGTCATTCAAGTAACCCAAAAAAAAAAACACAGTCTGCCACCTTTTCTCGTCTGGTGGAAACCCCTCCTTTTTTATCCTGTCTTGCGCTCTTCCACCTTGAGAGGTTCCAGCACCCTGACCGCTGGGTCGCTGTATTCCTACCTTGCTCGCCCTCCAATTCTTGCAGTCAAGGTACGAATACGGTACAAACCAACCAGAGAACAAAGCAACAAAGCAAACAAGAAAAAAAAAAGAAGAGAAAACTGCAAGGTTGTAGCGTCTACGACCCAGGCCCAGCAATCGTCGAGTCAGCAGCCGCCCCTCCAATACCTTCCATCTGATCAGTGCGCGTCTAAAAGGTCTCTCCATCGCCTCGGGGCGCATCTGGCAACATGGACCGACCGAATTTTAACACTCGACGATCCGTAGATAGTGCACGCTCGGCTACCGCTACCAATCCTGCTTCCCCTGCCACTGCCGCCGCGCCTGCTTCTCCCCTCAACCCTCACTCTTCCCAAACTTCGTCATCCTCTTCCCATTCGACCGTAAATTCCTCTGCTCCTACCGACGTTCCTCTGCGATCGAGGCCCGGACGCTCCGTCTCGCATTCCCTCAATCTATCCTCTTCTGCCAGCAGGAAGAGCCGACATGCCGAGCCTGGAACCACCGACGCCCACTCTGCCTCTGCTAGCCTTTCCATGCCCCCGCCCTCTTCGATTCCTCTAAAGAGCCCGAGAACTTCTCTCTGCCGCACCCGCCGAGAATCCAATAATTCGCTCGAAGCCTGGAGCGATTCCGCCTTGCAGTTTGCCGACGTCGACGAGGTCGACAATACCCCACGCCTCATGTCTGGGTCTAGCCAGCAAGATTCCACCACCGCCCCATATCGCCCCCTCCCCGAACCCGCCCTCACCTCCCGATCATCTTTTTCTTCCGAGTCCGACCTCAAGGACAAGCGCACATCCGTCTCCAGCATCTTTTCTGTCTACTCCCTGGCCTCGGCTCGCGGCGCCGCCCCAACTTCCGTCCCCGCCACCCAATCCTCTGCTGCTTCGACAAACGGCTCCGACGGTGGCCCTTCGCGCTCCGTTTCCGGCATCATGTCGTCAGGAAAACCAGTCACGAATGCCTCGCAACCCGGCGCCGAGCTCTCCAACGTTACTGTAACTACCTCTTCGAATGGTCAAAATACCAATGCCGCCCCGGGTGGTCATCACCTGGCGCCGCGCGAGACCAATACCCATACGCACCACGAAGTAATCAAACGGCCTCCTCGTCCCGCCCAGCCAACGCGATCCCGCAGCCGCAACAAGCGCAGGTTCAGCGGAAGCACTGGTGCAAGCAGCCATAGCCCCAGCAGCGATCGAGGACCCTACCACAACAAGGAGAAAGAAGAGGGTCAGTCAAGAGATACAAGCGCGCCTCGACAACGTGTACCGACAAGCTCTAATGCGCCTGCAGTCAAGCCAGCGCCTTGGGGTGTTATTGGAGTTTGCGCTTTGGATGTCAAGGCCCGCAGCAAGCCTAGCAGGAACATTCTGAACCGACTCATTGCTAATCGCGAGTTCGATGTCGTTGTGTTTGGTGACAAGGTCATTTTGGACGAAGGTAAGCCGCCGTTTCGCTCAATAGAGAGGAGCAACCCAGATTCGAGCAAATTGGAAATCTAGGAGCTGCATTACGTCGGAAATTTTGCTAACCACGGTGTTCGTCATGTAGAGGTCGAGAATTGGCCCATGTGGTGAGTAGTCAGAATATTTCTTATGTTTCGCTGACGGCTCGGTGAGCCAAAACAGTATAGCCTCTTCCTGCATCACCAATCCTTCAACCCATGCACAAGACATCTCCCATCTCTCACAGATCCCCAACCAGTCACAGGCATCCTTTCAACTCTACTCCCTATTCATCTATAGTCGCCGAGGCCATTACGAAAGTGGTTTTCTTGCGTACAGGTACTAACAATTTCCTCAGTGATTATCTCATCTCATTCTATTCGGATGGCTTCCCCCTGGATAAGGCAATTGCCTACGTCAAGGCTAGAAAACCGTTCTGCGTCAACGATGTGCCGATGCAGAAGATTCTTTGGGATCGTCGTCTATGCCTCAACATCTTAGACGGAATTGGTGTGGCTACGCCGAAACGCATCGAGGTGAACCGTGATGGCGGACCTAAGCTTTTGACCGCAGACACTGCAAAGCATATCAAGGAGATTACTGGTATAACCTTGGACGCCGAGGATCTGGGCTACAATAGGCTTCCCCGCAAGGTCGAGCTTCTCGACGACGGCGACATTCTCAGCGTCGACGGCGCTCTGCTCAAGAAACCCTTTGTCGAGAAGCCTGTCAGCGGTGAAGATCACAACATCATCATCTACTTCCCCAAGTCCACCGGTGGTGGTGCTCGCCGGCTGTTTCGCAAAATTGGCAACAAGAGCTCCGAGTATGATCCCGACTTGAACATTCCTCGCGCTATTCTGGAGCCAGAGAATAGTTACATTTACGAAAAGTTCATGAGAGTTGACAATGCTGAGGATGTCAAAGCCTACACTGTGGGACCCAACTACTGCCACGCAGAGACTCGGAAATCTCCAGTTGTCGACGGTGTCGTCAGACGAAACACGCACGGCAAGGAGCTGCGCTATGTCACGGCATTGGAGCCTGAAGAGAAGGAAATTGCGAGCAAGATTTCAACCTCTTTCGGCCAAAGAGTTTGCGGCTTCGACTTCCTGCGGGCCGGCGGCAAGAGCTATGTCATCGACGTTAATGGTTGGAGCTTCGTCAAGGATAACGACGATTACTATGACCACTGCGCCAACATTCTCAAGGATGTCTTTGTCAAGGAGAGGCTTCGCAGAGGCGGCGTCACCTCTCCCGTACCATCACCTTCTCCCTCGGATATGACTGATCCATTGGCATCGCGCGGAAAGGAGAAGGAGGCTTCGCAACCTATCCCTGTGCCACCGGCGCAGAACAAGTCCGTGACCAACGTGTCGGCCGTTTCTGAGAAGCTACCCCAGGAGCCGAAGCCCATACCAGCGAGTGCACCGCCTCAAAAGTCGGAGAGTGCACTCCCCTCTGCTGTCACCAGTTCGTGTACCAGCCCTACTCTTCCTCCTCCACCTCCGCTGGTAGATCCTGCAGTGGCGAGCGTCCCTTCCACCGTGGGAACGGGGTCAGCGACTCCATCCGCCGCGCCTTCGCTGCAAGGGGAGGGCACTGCGCCTCCTGCAGAGGAGGCTCCAGTGCCGCCGCCGCCACCGAAGCACTCTTGGAAACTCAAGGGCATCGTGTCCGTCATTCGACATGCTGATCGAACTCCGAAGCAAAAGTACAAGTTCACTTTCCATACGGCGCCCTTTATTGAATTACTCAAGGGTCATCAGGAAGAGGTGCTCCTCATAGGAGAGGCCGCTCTGGCCAGCGTACTGCAGGCCGTAGATGTCGCGTTGAGAGCTGGCGTAGAAGACCGCGCCAAGTTGAAATCGCTGCGTAATGTCCTCGTGAAGAAGGGGGGATGGGCTGGCACCAAGGTCCAAATTAAGCCAATGTTCCGAAAGAAGAAGACGGAAGAGGTCGCAGTTTCGTCAGGCGACGAGCTTTCACAAGTCTTGAAAGAAGGCGTCGAAACGGACTTCGCAGAGAAGACTGATGATGGTGCCGCAAAGACGGAAAACTCTTCACCGTCCAGGATGCCACCCAAGAGGCACGACTCACTTTCTGGTATGACCATGTCCCGCATCACAGCAGCGGAGGAAAGCTTGGTCCTAGAGAAGCTTCAGCTCATTGTGAAATGGGGCGGTGAGCCAACACATTCGGCACGCTATCAGGCCCAGGAACTGGGTGAGAACATGAGAAACGATTTCAATCTGCTTAACCGAGATGTCCTTGACGAGGTTCACGTTTTCAGCAGTTCTGAACGTCGCGTTACTACCAGTGCGCAAATTTGGGCTTCTGCTTTCCTGGATCGCAAAGATCTCCCTGAGGACTTCATCACTATCCGCAAGGATTTGCTCGACGACTCCAACGCTGCCAAGGACGAGATGGACAAGGTGAAGAAGAAGTTGAAGGGTCTTCTTCGCAAGGGTAACGAGCGACCTTCCCAATTCGCTTGGCCGGAGAAAATGCCCGAGCCTTCAGAGGTTCAGACGCGCGTTGTTCAACTCATGAACTTCCATCGTCGCGTAATGCACTACAACTACAGCAAGCTGCACAACGGTAGTGCCGTTGCTTCTTTGAATAATGCCATTGCCAACCCGGGTTCCGAGAAACCCACAAGTGCCGAGGCATCAGGCTCGACAAGCTCCATGTCCTCCTCACTGTCTCAGGCGAATGCGGTGAGCAACATTCAACCCAGATGGTGTTGTGGCGAGGATGCCGAGCTCTTCAGGGAACGCTGGGAAAAGCTTTTCGCGGAGTTTTGTGACGGAGAAAAGGTCGATCCAAGCAAGATCTCCGAGCTTTACGACACGATGAAGTTCGATGCTCTGCATAACCGGCAGTTCTTGGAATGGGTATTCACACCGCCCAAAGCCATGCTGGAGGAGGAGTACGGTATCAAGGACAAGGAAAAGGACAAGGACAGCAAGGACGGTAGCAAAGAGGCGAAGACTGCCGAGAAAACATCCGATGAGGGGAAGTCGTCGCAGGACTCCCGCGAGGAACGACGGGATTTCTCGGGATCTAGCGATAAGGCAGACAAGAGCGAAGCCAGCAAGAGCTCAACATCTGTCAGACGCATCTTCCGACGGCGGTCGTTCCTCAACGGTCTCCGACACGTCGAGGCAGCCCCGCCTGAACAGTACTTTCACCTCTACAAGAGCAACACTCAGACCAAGGCAAAGACCGATGCCAGGTTTGAGCCGTTGCGGGAACTGTACCAGCTTGCCAAGGTTCTATTCGACTTCATCTGCCCTCAAGAGTACGGTATCTCTGATGGGGAGAAGCTGGAGATTGGTCTTCTGACATCGTTGCCGCTGCTCAAGGAGATTGTCCAGGATCTTGAGGAGATGCAAGCATCGAACGATGCCAAATCCTTCTTTTACTTTACCAAAGAGTCTCACATTTACACCCTGCTCAACTGCATCCTTGAAGGAGGGATCGAGACGAAGATCAAGAGAAGCACTATTCCCGAGCTTGACTATCTTTCGCAGATCTGCTTCGAGCTGTATGAATCGGAGACCAAGGCCCCTGCCGCCACACCCGACAGGGGCGAGGAGCAGACATTTGCCTACAGCATCAGAATCACCATTAGCCCCGGATGCCACGTCTTCGACCCGCTAGATGTCCAATTGGACAGCAAGCATTGCATCAGCTGCGCTCCGCGACGCAGTCTGACCCCTCACGGCGATTGGATGCAAGTGATCCGCACTCTGAGGGCTAAGTTCAACCAGTAAGTTTCGCTCCAGCAGATGGCTTACCTGGGTTTTGGGGTGTGATGCTAACGAGTGGTATTGCAGAGTCAAACTTCCCAAGACGTTCCTCGCTGTGAACTTGTCAGATCTCTTTTCTATCGAGGACCATGAACGACGGGATAGTGACAGCGAGGGGCTCGAAATGAAGGGATTGCATCCTAAGCCCAAGGTATCAGAGCAGCAAACCACTGCCCACTCAGAAACCGAGAGCGGAACAGGAAAGGAGGAGCTTGTCTCAGCGGGCCAGGCTCTTGCTTCAGCCTCGTCGGTTGTCATGGATGATGAGGAGCCCGTTAGCCCGAGAACCAAGCCTGACGCTTCAACCGAGACAATCTCCCAGGTGGCAGCAGACTCTGCCGAGTGATTGAGTCGGCATACTTGGCTTAAGTCTCGTAGTTATCGAGACAGGATTACAAAGATACGGTGGGAGGTACAAGACGTGAGAGAACAAGCGATGGACAGGAGGCAAGAGATATAGCATGGATAGACTCAAGCGCATTATTAGCAACGATAGCGGAAAATCAAACAGTATCATCCAAGACCTTGGCAAGTCGCTGGCAATGAAGGCAAGACGATGTTGAGGTGCAACGTCATTGGAGTTGTCGTCAGAAGTTGGATGTGACGCGGGCCGAGCTCGCCCCAGCATTGGTCTTGCGTGCTAGCCAGAAGAGAGTCTCATCCATGGTACCGTACCACTGCTCGGCAAAAGGGAAAAAACATGGCATCTCGCAAGGTCGGCAACAAAATGGACGATGCACACCGCAATTCCTCATCACCCCTGTGGTAAATCCCATGAGGTGCAGCATCGGCTGCAGGGGCTGGGGTCTTCAATTGCCTTGAAGCGCATGGCAAAGTACGGATATCCGTTGCAAGTACCGCGGAAGCGAGACGGCCAGAGGACCTGAGGTGGTATTCCACGGAAAGTACCCCCGTCGTACCTTGAGACGGGCTGACAGCTAGTCTGATGGAGATGGGTCATGGTTACGACCATTTTTCGAGCAGGGTCATCTGTCTGGCTCGCTTATAAGTTCGATACGGACGCTGAATATCGACGAGGGTCGGCAAGAAGGTTTCAGAATCGACAGATGTGAAAAGGTTAGTTTTTTTGGCGACTCGGAATTGCAAGTCCGGTGCTTGTGGTTACCTGGCTCGTCCCGCCCAGTTCGTCCAAGGCATGATGAAATCTGGTCCTACCTTACCTTGACTGGGGAGGGGGGAGGGGTCCCAGATTGACGGCGATGGACAAGGTCCGAACTTCAGACGCTCCCGCGTGCCGCGTGTGGATCATTCTTCATCACGCCCCAGAATTTTATTCTGCGTCGGATCAGGCAAATGGTCAGGTATGGACAAGGGGCCTGGAAGTCCCGCAACGTCTGCGCCTGATAGAAGCGTTGCCTATGGGATGGAGGGGAAACCCCTCTCATAGTTCGTGCTGTAAAGATAGGTGTGGTTGCGCGCCCCGAAGTAGTTTTGTGACTTAGTTCATCATAGGTCCTCGAGGGTTGCGCGCCCTGTGTCTTCGTTCCTCCTCCTTCTTCTTCATTTGGTCAATGGAGAGGGAAAGAGTCCTGGAACGACCGGGCTGCGATTGTGTGCGAAAAGTGTAGCCGTCCAATAGCGGCAAAGCGGTCTCGCAGGGGCAGGCTTCCGATCCGCAAGGACAGGCAGGGAAGTGCTTCAGAGGGCCTGTTCCTCGCCTAAAGTATTCGACTTCTCGAAGCTATCGGGTCTGGGGTACTTGACGCCTGGCACAAGGGATGGTTGATGAGGAACCAAACGGTCGTGCTGCCTCGGCTAGAGTTTTTTGTCTCCAGAAAGGATCGTCGAGACAGATAATAGATGGGTTTAAGGCCAGCTAAGAAACGTCTCTAAGCTCACTTAGGTTAGTCGATCCTCCGCTCGTCTGCGTGAGTAGAATGGATAGCTAAAGCTTGCCTGGGAGGAAGAAAGTAGTTGTTCATTTTATGTCGCTAACACACCAATTCCAACAGGCGAATCCCAATTTTGAGACGTGATCAGTCGTTGGCATGGTCATCTGAGCAGAAGCTCCCTTAGCCTCCAAACTATCGGAAAGCACGAAGTAAACCGCGGTTTTCGCTAAGGGAATACATGGCCATTTGATATTCAGGCTCGAGACATGCTCGAAATGTCGCAGATGAAATTGAATATGAGAAGCAGAAGAGCACTATTAGTCGACGTCCTCAGGCAGTCCACCTGAATCTATTGCATGTGAGCATCACCGGCGCATGGGTAGCGAATAGTGAAGTTACAGGCTCAACGCGGTGATTCAGGAATCCGATGCCATTTGAGAGAAGGCCGCTATAAGAATCATCTCGGAGTAGAGTCTCCTGCTTTCGATTAGAGACAATACAGAAGCGCGTAATCTGCCTCGGTACACTTTTGTTCTTGTTGTGCCTTGATTTGAAAAGATCTGGCAGCGAGATAGATGGTGGCATGGTCTGGAGAATGCCTGTCGTTGAGTAGGATGGCGAATAGTGGAGTACATCGGCTGGGATGTTGTTATGCGGATACAGTGAGTACCCATCTAGGTCGTTAGCGAGGGAGCGCTATGAATACGGGCACGGAGTAAGACCCGGATCCAATCACGCTGTCTCGCGGCAGGGCAGGAGAAGGAAGGACTCGTCAAGAACATTGCGAGTGACCAAAATCATCATTTATCGGTTGATTCGACATAGCCTCGAGGCTCATGGGGTTGAAAATTGTGATAGTGTTCCCTGAAGGATAGGCGGGTCGGTGCCAACATTTGCGAATTTTCATGTTACTCAGGTTTTGAGTCCAATTCTAGGACAACAAAATTGAGCGGGGCGAGAGAAAAAGATGTCTCTCTGGCAATATGATTTGGCGTTGTTTTCGAGTTGAGCCGGTGGTCGCCCCTTGTAGCGAGGTGCAGATCTTGGCCGGCATCAAACGGTCAGGGTGCATGTACATCCTTGCCAGCCAGTCACATCATCTCGAGGGGTCGAATTTGCTGGTTGGTCGGTCGTGTCGGCCTACTGCAATTCTCATGGTCTTCTGGCATTTGACCGGCACTGCTTTCGCTTCGTCGAAAGGGTGTGAAGGTAATCGTCCCAACTTGACCGAGTGTGGTCCTTACCGGGGCGCTATCGAACCACAGTCCAAACCCCCATGTCTGAACGAGCCGGGAGGGAGGGAACCAGCGCAACGTACTGCGCTGTAGCGAGTAAAATCATAACATGGGACAATCCATGATCATATTGACCACCCACAGTTCGGCGATGCGTCGTCGTAAGCGGGTATTGAGAGCATCGGAGGTGGGCGAAATACATGCTTGTCGTTAAAAAGCCAAAAGACGTGGTCATAGTGGGTTAGATTCTGCGGACAAGACTGGAATTGGTCTTGTGGGTGGGGAACCGAGGGCGAGCGCGGAACGAGCCCGGAGTCTCGTGAAGTGGAATCTTGACGTCTGTAAGGTCAGTGAGACCGGTCTGGAGACAAGGCGGAGCGGAGAACCTCGACCGTGTCGTTGGAAAGGAACGGGAAAGATAGAGAGAGGGGGCGGAGAGTACCGAACACGGCCAGTTCAAGTTGAGCTCGGCCTTTTAGCAGAGCCTAGAAAAGTGGCTCTGAATTAGGTCAGGCTGAGAATCGACAAGCGGCCGAGGATTCGAGATAGCTCGATGTATGTATTATTCGTGTCTGTATTCCGTACCCGTGCTATTGTGTAGGTAGTGTAGTCAACTTCGTCTTGTACGTAGGTATTGCTAGCGGCCGAGGCTCTTGAGGATTTTCAGTGCTGACACCAAATGTTGGATGCTTGTCGATCATATTGACAGGCGCAAAATGCAGTGTGACGCTCTGTGACGATAGGTGAGAATGCATTTGTCCCCTCGATGGCAATCAAAAGGGTCAAGTGAAGCGGCGGTGGCCGGGTATTGACGCAACAGACATTACGTGAATGGAGGGAGGGGTGGAAGGAAGCAAGGCTTACGTAGTCCCATGCATGGCATCATGTGGAAATTAGATGAAAAAGATGCCCGCAGCCAGCAGACAGCTCCGTGAGCAATGGGCAATGGGCAATGTTGAAAGGGAAGGACGCGGGGAGGCGGCCGACAGCGGGAGATTGAAGTCAAAATGGAAGGCGGTTCCAACGTCGCGGATGAGCCGCTAGGACCCAGCGGGCCAAATGTGACTGTCTCCGTCATTGTCATTGGCAATGCAATGAGAGTGGATGAGAAGTGGATTTGGGAAGCGTGACATGGAGGTCATGTGATGCCAACCGTGACAAGCCACGATCCAGGGCAAGAGCAGTGGTGTTTGCAGAATACCTTAAGGTACCTCAAGCCCAAGTACCTTTCCTGGGCGCGGGATGGAAGGAGTGAGTGAGGGGATGACATTTCGTTCTTCGTACTAGAACTGATGTTGGAGATGGGGCATCACGGCATGAGGCGGGCGAGCCGAGCTTAGAAGGTGCCGGGAGACATTCCAGAGCCTCTTCCGTCCAGATTGATGGCTTCGGCTGGCCAGGAAGAGGTGTCTTGGAGTGAATGGAAGTTGCTTTACGCCGTAGATATCTAGACTTGCCCAATTAGTATTCGTACCTTAGCATGTGCTGCACCCTTGCTTGCCTCCATCCCGTTCTTCAGGCGCTTGCCCGTACGTACTCCGCAAGTTAGGTACTCCGTATCGCATGAGCGAGAACGTGGGTGGCACCAAGGGGTCTCGGTCGACGGTCAAAGCTGATGTGCGCTGCGTTCGCCTTGCCTTGTCATACCCAAGATTGCTAGATATGGGAATGGGTGTGCAAGTCTCGAGCCTCAAACTTCCGGCTTCCTTCGGTTTTCAAGAACCCACGTAGTTTGTCATTGGGATAGACACATTGAAATCTGTGACCGGTCTGGAAAGTGTGGTGCTGCGTTGGCAATCGGTCTGGGAAGGCATCGATCAAACGAGACTCGCTACCGTACCTACCTCAAGAAGGTTGGCGAAGAAAGGCAGCCACCTGGGGCTCCCCTCTGTTGTCTCCCTGCGCCTGCCAGAAACACACAATCTTCAATCCGGGCAGCATGCAGCTTTCAACTTTGGGATGCCACCACCAGTATCACTGCACCAGACCAGCCTGAAGGTTGTGTGGGTTTTTGCTTGTCAGGCCTGTCCGGGAAGGAAGCTTTGACGTTGAGTTTCCGGTCCTTGCCTAAGTAGGCGCTATGCAGAAGGTGGAACTTTACCTCACCCTAAGGTAAGCAAGCTAACGCCCGAGGCTATTTCGCAACTCCAGTCCGGGTTCTGCAACATCCACACCACTCACTCTAGCCCGGCATTCCTACACTATAGCCTGAAGCCTGAAGCCAGAATCCAATCTGACCGCTGGCAACAAACAAGACA